CTCATCATGGCAATGGTGGAGCAGAATGATAGCTATTTTTCTTCATTTAACAATACAAAATATTTCAACCAATGAGCTTCTTTTGTCAAGTTTAATATCCTGAATGGGAAAAAAGGGCTTAATTATGTCCAGAGTAATTGATTATGTTTTATATTAGTGCCTTTAAAATGCTGTTTCTGTAGCTCACTGAGGCCTAATCAGGTCAGGTTGTTGATTTGATTGATTTAATTTTCATTTTATTTAATGACTGAGAAGAAATTGTGACCTTGAAGATGAGCATGAAAATCTCCTAATTTTCATCATCTTTCTGCCTTGAACAACCTCCATGATAATAAGCCTTTGAACAATAATAATGTAGTGAATAATAATATCGAATGGTGAAATCACACGTTTTTTTTATTATTATGTTGGTTAATTGCTCAGTGACCTCCGATGTTTCATCTGCAAATACTTTTAATTGGTGACTTTATTAGGAAGAGCCCATTTAGTCTAAAATGATGGAGGTCAGTTGGATAATAATGCCAGTGTTGATGCATGTTAAACATTTTCACAATTTTTTTAAACATGCTAAGCAAAATGGACTTTGAGGCCCCGCCCCCATCGTGAGTGCTCAAACGAACCACAGCATAGACACACAAGGTCTCGGTATGACCGGTGTCAGAGCTTGGTCCACATTGCCGGCGGTAAGCCGGGCTCACTCCCAGTGAGAGTTAGACTCCCTCATGGCTGCCCTTTGTCACCGATTCTGGTCCTAACTTTTATGGACAGGATTTCTAGGAGCAGCCAAAGTGTTGAGGGGATTGTTTTCTTGGTCTGAGGATCAGGTCTCTGCTTTTTGCAGATGGTGGTCCAGTTGGCTTCAACAGAACGTGATCTCCAGCTTTCGCTGGAGCGGTTTGCAATGTGAAGCAGCTGGGATGAGAATCAGCTCGTCTAAATCCAAGACCATGGTCTTGGGTCAGAAAAGGGTAGAATGCCTTCTCCAGGTCAGGATTGAGGTCCTGCCTCAAGTGGAGTTTAAGTATCTCAGGGTCTTTTTCACAAGTGAGGGAAAGATGGAGTGCCAGATCAGTAGGCGAATTGGTGTTGCGTCTGCAGTGATGCAGGCATTGTACCAGTCTGTTGTGGTGAAGAGAGCTGAGCTGGAAGATTTACCGGTCGATCCACGTTCCTACCCTCACCTATGGTCAAAAGCTTTGAGTCGTGACTGAAAGAGTGAGATTGCAGATACAAGCGATCAAGTAATTTTTCCTCAGCAGAATGTCTGGGCTCTCTTAGATATATGGTAAGAAACTGTCATCCAAGAGGGACTGGGAATAGATCCGCTGCTTCTCCACATTGAGAGAAGCCAGCTGAGGTGGCTCGAGCATCTGGTTAGGATGCCTCCCTGATGAGCTTGTCCGGGCAAGTTCAACTGGAAGGAAACTTAAAGGAAGGCCCAGAACACGCAGAAGGAACTGTGATTCTCAGCTGGCCAGAGAACACCTTGGGATTTCCCCAAAGGAACTGGCCCAAGTGGCTAGGAAGAGGGAAGTCTGGGTCTGTGTACTTAGGCTGGTCCTGCGACCCGACCCCAGACAAGCAAATAAAAGTAGATGAAAGAAAAGTTGGAGTTGTGCTGACCTCCACTGAATGGTGTGCATAGAAGCCTGAATGTACTGTGCTGGTATTGTTTTCAAATCTGCCCTCTGCTGCTACCATTCTTTGTCCAACACACACACACACACACACACACACACACACACACACACACACACACACACACACACAAGAAAGGCAGAGTCAAATGAGGTCAGCTGCATTTACATATTTTGTACGGTACCGCACGCCTGGTAAGATTTACATTTGAAAATTTGAACAAAATTCACCACCAGCCCATAAAAACATAAATACTTAAAGGGGCAGCCCACTGAGTTTACAGTTTGTCCTTGCATTTTTTTTAAAAACAGTGTCTGTCTGGGGTGCCAGCTCGGGGGCTCGGGGGAATTGCCTTCTTCCCCAGCCTTGCAGCAACAGCCAACACAGCTTGAGAAAAGACTAAAAAGGGAGTCAAGTGTTGAATCGGATGCATTTAAGAAAGGAAACAACTAAAGCACGCAGGATGGTGGCCCACGAGGACCAGAATTGGGGGGGGGCAAAGTTAGAGGAAAAAATATAATTTGGTGAAAAGTTGATCTGAAATTGTTTTAAATTAGTGTTGAAATTCTGTTAATATAGTCTTAATCTCTTTACTCTTTAATGGCATCATCAAACATTTTGGTCTTGCGCTGAGCAGTACAAAGCTATTCTCTCTCAGCCCCCCTGCAGGATTATCCCACCCATTTGGAAATCCACAGATTTCATCTCAGTAGCTGCAACTTTAGGGTATTTCTCAGCTCTGACTGTGGTAATGGCATATAGCAAAGATGCCATTGTTTTCATTTTATATTTCAGGCTCTAATGGCCCTTACTCAGCTGTCCGTAAGAAGGAAAGTGCTGGCAGAAAGGAGGGAATGACATACCATACAGGGCCTCAGCTCAGGTCTCAAACCTGCCTCTGCAACAGACTTTCAACTTCTCTAGGTGCTGCCATCAGACTCCCACTGCTTTAAAGGCATGAAGCACTTGAAGTGAACTCTGCCTCATCCTGTAGCTCTAACTGTGGCCATTTCATTTGCAGTTAAATCGGCTCAAACGTCTGCTTGGAAGATGACATAGTCATCTTGGAGCGATGCATCAGCATTTGCAGCATGCTATTTTGTAGCTGCAGTTAACTGGTACGGGCTTTTATATTTACAGCAACCATTTCTATAGGAGATATTTATATATGACTCCCATTATGAAGGGGACATTTATTACAGATGGATTTTAATCTCCGTGCGGCTCCAGGTGGATTTGTGATCATTACTTAGAACTAAAGTATAAAAATGATGAACAGGTAAGTTTTACTCATCTGCTGGGAGGCTTCCCAGAAAGTGAAACTGTTGTTCAGAATAAGTTAGAAAAGATTTGTCATTATTTATACAGACGCACTTATAAAAATTGTTGTTTTTTTTGAAGAAAATAAGTTATATGCACATAGTATAATAGATGTAATAAAAGTTGTGCCATTTACTAAGTAGACCAAATGAAAATAATTTAGAACAAATATCTAAAGATCTGTGTTTTGGCAGCAAACATCCTGTTTTTTTATTATTCCTTTAAAAGGAACATTATTTTTTAAGTGTCTTTCTAAAAAAAAGTGAGAACATTGAATAACATATCTGTTATAAATGCACTAATAAACAAACTGCAGTGTGGTGAAGTTTTCACAAGACAGGTGAGCTGCTGTTCAGTCTGAGCATTTCTGTCATCTTAAAACAACTAAATAGTCATAATTTGTAGCATTTTGCACAGGAGTTAAGTGCTCACCCCGTAATTGGAAGGTTGCAGGTTCGAGCCCCGCTCAGTCTGTTGCTGTTGTTGTGTCCTTGGGCAAGACACTTAACCCCCCTTGCCTGGTGGTGGTGGTCGGAGGGACCGGTGGCGCCAGTGTTTGACAGCCTCGCCTCTGTCAATGTGCCCCAGGGCAGCTGTGGCTACATCGTAGCTCAACCAGGGTGTGAATGTATGTGTGAATGGGTGAATGGCTGATTGTGTTGTAAAGCTCCTTGGGGGGTTCCAGAACTCTAGAAGGCGCTATATCAAATACAGGCCATTTACCATTTAGCATAGTTGGAAAAATTCCAGCCAGTGACTTTCTAGTTGTAATTTTATTTTTGTTAATTCTTCTGGAGCGACTGACATGTTACATTTATGGCAACACAATAGTGAAAAACAGCATTTCTATTAACTGTTATAATTTAAATTGTTTGAAACCAACCCTTTTTCTACTAGTTGTTACTTTACCTGTTTGATCAGAACTAATCTACATTTACTCAAACTGATGTTGCATAAAGAGCAAGCTGCAACAGGTAAGGTACACTGCCACCTGGATTTAACAAGCCTGTGGGGGCAGTGCCATGATCTGGGGTTGCTGCAGTTGGTCAGGTCTAGGTTCAACAACAGGATGTGCTCCAAGAAAGAGGTCAGCTGACTACCTGAATATCCTGAATGACCAGGTTATTCCATCTCCCCTGATGGCACAGGCATATTCCAAGATGACAATGTTAGGATTCACTTAAATAGTGAAAGAGGGGTTCGGGGAGCATGAGACATCATTTTCACACATGGATTGGCCACCACAGAGTCCAGACCTAGACCTCATTGAGAATCTTTTGGATGTCCTGGAGAAGGCTTTGTGCAGCAGTCAGACTCTTCCATCATCAATGCAAGATCTTGGTGAAACATTAATGCAACACTAGTTGGAAAGAAATCTTGTGACATTGCAGAAGCTCATCGAAACTGAAATGAATAAAAAATGAAGAATTCTAAAAGTTCATAAATAAAAACAATCCGTCTTCTAAAAGCTTATGATTGATTTTTTTAAAAAGATCCATTTATTCCACAATTATGTCTATAGGACCAGGGTTTAAATGAAAAAAGCAAACAACTCGTAACCAAACTTCTCTTAGGAGAAAAAATATCTTTTCTCAGTCTGACTTCAAAGCTGTTTTCAAAGCAGCAGCTGCTATTTGGGGCATTTTCTTTAAAAAGAAAACACAAAAAAACTAGGAAGGATTAATATGCTTCATGTTTGTTTAATTAAACACAGATGACTGCAGAGAAAGCAGAAAGTTAAATGAACTGACACTAATTGTGCAGAGACACTAAAAACAATGAAAATGAGTCAAATTTAATACATTTAATAGAGACAAGATATTATAGGAATAAGAACATCTCTAAATGACAATATGTTTAAAAAACTGGATGGTTTCAGAAATGTTTCTTGTTCTGTGACTTTTATTATGATTTGAAAGATAAATATTTCATGTTTTTAGACTTTTTCTTAAAAAGTCGAGCAAGATAAAAGAAATGTTGAACTAATCAATATGATTGAAATGATTGTATGGAGGTTAAGACATTGTGTATCAATATTTTACCTGCTGCAGAAATGCAACAAATTTGCACATGAAGTTGCCAAAGATCCATTCAGGGAGGGGGTAGAGGGTGGCAGTGAACGGGACGCAGCACACCAAGAAGATGATGTCAGTGGCAGCCAGGTTTGCTAGACAGGAAGAAAAGCATCATGTTTGGTTTTCAGTCGGCAGGGCGGTATGCAGTCAATCACATGCAACACACACCAGCTCCAGTTTTGCACAAAATTAACGATCATAGGCTTACGTTAAAAATAAGAAACAAGAGGTTGTGGAGATGGTCGATCTACTACTAGTAATTAAAATGGTGAATTAGAATCGTTGATGCTTTAAAAATTACTTTTCTTTGCAATACAGAACTCTCTTTTCTCAACAATTGAATGTCTATTTAATTTTGATGGCTACAGCATAATGGCTTCAAATGTGTTTGCAACTATTTCCGAATCTTCCATTAATTCTGCATTAAGTAAAACTTTGTAAACGCGTATTTTCCAGGAAAAGAAATTCATCTGTAGTCCTAATTGTGCCAGTATTACTTATTGTATAACATCTCTTAACCCTCCCGCATTGTTAATGGGGCCAGATGGACCTCTGGTGTATTTAAATTTTTTATTTTAATATTTTTAAGGGGTGCATCACTTCACCCCTGCCAAGTCATAAACTTTAAACCCTGTTTAACCACCCCCTGTCCTTGCGGGGTCACCTGATAGGAAAGTGGAAGGGTTAAATGGGTAACACATTTTGTTTGAGCACGAGTTGATTAAGGAAAAGCCGGTGATGAATTTTGTATGGATGCTGTAGTCAGATAGGAACCATTAGGTAATTTTATGAATATGTACAATTTTCATTTTAGTACTTTAACTTCTTTTTTGGACATAAGTGGATGGATGGATGGATGGGTGGGTGGATGGGTGGATGGATGGGTGGATGGATGGATGGATGGATGGATGGATGGATGGATGGATGGATGGGTAGGTGAACAGGTGGTTGGGCGGATGGATGGATGGATGGTTGGATGGGTAGGTGAACAGGTGGGTGGGCGGATGGATGGATGGGTAGGTGAACAGGTGGGTGGGCGGATGGATGGATGGATGGATGGGTAGGTGAACAGGTGGTTGGGCAGATGGATGGATGGATGGGTAGGTGAACAGGTGGATGGATGGGTGGGTGGATGGGTGGATGGATGGATGGATGGATGGGTAGGTGAACAGGTGGGTGGGCAGATGGATGGATGGATGGGTAGGTGAACAGGTGGGTGGGCGGATGGATGGATGGATGGATGGATGGATGGATGGATGGATGGATGGATGGATGGATGGGTGGATGGATGGATGGATGGATGGATGGATGGATGGATGGATGGATGGATGTGTAGGTGAACAGGTGGTTGGGCGGATGGATGGATGGATGGATGGATGGGTAGGTGAACAGGTGGGTGGGCGGATGGATGGATGGGTAGGTGAACAGGTGGGTGGGCGGATGGATGGATGGATGGATGGGTAGGTGAACAGGTGGTTGGGCAGATGGATGGATGGATGGGTAGGTGAACAGGTGGATGGATGGGTGGGTGGATGGGTGGATGGGTGGATGGATGGATGGATGGATGGGTAGGTGAACAGGTGGGTGGGCAGATGGATGGATGGATGGGTAGGTGAACAGGTGGGTGGGCGGATGGATGGATGGATGGGTAGGTGAACAGGTGGGTGGGCGGATGGATGGATGGATGGGTGGGTGGGTGAATAGTTGGGTTGGTGGTTGGATGGATGGGTCGGTGAATGGTTGGGTGGGGTAAGCATCTAAAATGTTCCACATGGGCCAGCTCTTTATAAACATTATCATAAATGTGTAGTTTATTCCAACTTCTTCAAATTGCAAAAGAAAATGTGTTTTTTTTATTTTTTATTTAATTTTTTTTTATTACTGTGCTTCTCATTCGTCACCCACAGGTGCAACCGAGCAAGGTTCAGGCTTTAGTTGGATCTGAAGCATTTACACCTGCTTCAAACAGAACTATAGAAGAACTGGACATTAGAACAAACATTTTATCAGAAATTTGGAAGTTTCTAAAAGGACCTTCAAAAATCAACAGAGCATAAATAACAAGAAGCACCAAATAATCTGATATTAGCTTTTCTGTCAGATTACGTTTCATTTAGTTTCATGGAAGAAGCTCAACGCTGTATTCCTCAGAGATGACTGTAGAATAAAGACATGTTCATTAGAATAAATCAAGCTGTAAAATAAAAAAACAGCTCTTCTGATTTATTGCTGGTTTACACTTCACTCGTGCATCTTGACAAAATAGTTGACCGTTGCATCGTTTCAATCAAAACCTCTGAAGTCAAAATACTTATTTGTCTTTGGCTATCAGATCAATCTAAACTTGGCAGCGTTGCTCTTACTTCTACTCATGTATCCATCATCCTGATGAACAACAACAACACCATTCCCTGTTTGTTTTAACAGCTGATCTAATCACATTGCAGTCACTGCATTATTACGCTGAAGAGGCCAGACAGATGGTGCAGGTGTTAATCAAATGATGCTGAATACCGCACCGTCTCAATGCCGCCGCTGCCTTGACATATTCCCTTCAGGCTGGAATTCTTGTTGCACTGTGCAAACATGAACACACTCCTGTAGCAAATCACAAAGCTGCACGCCCGCAGGCATTATCTATCTACATGTTGGTGATCTGCATTTAGTGTTCTGCTTTGTGGATTTAACCCGAGTGAATCTATCACCCGCGCTTCAGAGAGAGGTTGATGTCTGAGTTCTGCAAGACATGAATCAATCAGTCTGGTTTCCAATTCATGTGTTCTGAATTTCAAAGGAGGATTGTCGCACTTTTCTTTTGCTGGCTTCTGTTACTATACCGAACCAGAGGTAGAAAAAAAGAAAACAGGATGTGACTGAGAGGCACGCACAGCTCCATGGCATGAGCAAATGTTTCATTTTTAAGGGGGACATTTGTGTAATTACTGTATGTCACTTAAGCCCTGAGCAGTGGCTGCAGTCAACAAGAGCAGAAAGTGACTTGAGTACGATAAGATTCAAAACAAGAGGCTCAAAATGCATCAGGAAATAGTCACTTTATGTAAGTAAGTAAGTAAGTAAGTAAAAGTTACCAAAGAAACTTTGGTAACTTTTGTGTTGTGGAAATGTGTTATAGTGACTTTCTATGCACTGTTTATTTTTGGAAATCCTTTGCTTTTGCTTAAGTTTAAAATGTATTTTCTACTGATTTAATGAGTTGTTTTGCTTTGAAAAAAATGCTGCAAAGTCAGAAGTTGTAATCATTTTAAAGGCCATCCAGTCCATTACACATCCTCTGTCCACAATGACTACCAAAACAGTCACAAGTGTAAAAGTATGCTAATAAAAGCTGAAATGTTGAAGATTCATAAATCTAGACTCACCGGCCAGTTTATTAGGTATGCTATAAAGCGTGGCTCACGGCCATGCATTCAATCAAATGACTGAAAGTGAACTTTCTTTAGCATACAGGTCATGCAAACATGATGCAGCTGATCTGCACTGTCAGGTCAGTCTACTGGTTCCCCACGAGGTTCAGTCATCTCTCCACTTAAGTCAAATACTTAGACGGCACACTCTGGATACTGCAAACAAAGCTAGACTTGTTTTTGCTGTGGTGTACAGGGAGCTGTTTGGACTTCTGGTCTCCAAAACCAAAGAGATGGTGATTCACTTCAGTCACAGTCCATCATCTACCCCCGCACTCACTGTTAACAGTAAAGCTATTGAAAAGGTAACCTCATGCAAACACCTCGGCTTCATAATTGACCATAAACTCACATTAAACTCAACACCGAACATGTTTTTGCTAAATGTCAACAGCGCCTCTATTTCCTCCGTAAGCTCTGCAAACTTCAGATTCACCAATCATTATGGGAATGAACATTTGTGTTAACTCATTATTCGTTACTGTAGAGCATTCAACACTATTAAAACATATTGTAGGTACACAGAATATGATAGTAAATACCTTGTAAAGTTAGAGAAGTTATTCTGTGAGCCGAAAACAAAAGATAACTTTATTAAAAGGGGATAGAAAGAGAGTCTTGGGAGATTCATTCTGTCTGATTCAAAGCTTGAAAGGTAGACCTAATGAAGAGTGAAATAAATTTCATTACTGTGGGGTACTAAGTAAAATGGTGAGTCTACTTGAAATACATGGTGAAACTTTATTTTCCACCAGCTGAAAGAGATTGACTTGTGCCCCCCTCAATGCTCATTAGTATAAAAGAATAATTCTGGCGTTCAAGCAGAGTTTAGTGTACAAAAGGCACAGGATCATCATTTCTATCATACTGCATCTCATCAAGAACTATCATTAATGAACAGCTCAAAATATTAGTAAAGATGTTTGTTACGGATGTAGGATTCATACAAAAGGTACGTACAAGTTTAAGTTAAAAACAGATCCACGGCCATCCACAGTTGTTCAAAACTCCCTCGGCTCTAAAGAAAAGGTCAGTTTTGCTCATAAAAATCAGTCTTCCAGAGAACTTCTCGAGGGGAAGTTGAGAAAATGACATTGTGTGACAGGTTGCGTCAGTAACTAAAGCCTGCTCGCTTGTTTCCAGAATACTTGAGTTTTTTTCTTATGTTTTGATCCTAATTGAATTTTTTCTCAGTCACAAATGTGGTTGAATCAGTGCTCTTACTTACTTACTTACTATAACAAACGCGTGCACACGTTTGTTATATTGATCTTTTAGAGCAAAAAAAAAAAGATACCTTATGAAAAGGTCATTTTTAAGGACACTCGTGCATCTTTCAGGAAAATATAAATGTTTTCTGCACATGTAACAAAGGCAAACATGCCAAAGAAGAAGATGCATGCACTGAAGCCTGACTTGTTCCCAAAAGTGAATGTGTGAATCGTTTTGAAACAAACTAGCATCCTGTGCTGCTAAAATCTAATTTGCATAATGAGTTTACAAGCTGAACAAGACAAAGTAACACCTAAAAATGCTCCATGGTTTGGCAGCTTTACTAATAATAGTGACTTTATTTAAATAAAAACAGTATAAAACCCACATTAATGCAGGTAAGAATAACAAAAACAGCAATGCACAGATCAAACATAAAAGTAAGAACAGATCAAATGTAATAAAAAACAAGAAAATAGGTCCAGAGTTCGTGATGCACGAGTTAAGGTGAACAAGTGTGTCATTAGCTTAGCTTTAAAAACCTCCACAAAGCATGCTCCCCTAATATCTTGAGGTAAACTGTTCTGCAACAGAAGCGTACAAAAAGAAAATGCACGTTCCCCAATAGTCCTTTGGCACCTTTAGGAGGCCGGAGCTCTGAAACCTTGTTGGGACGTACGGGTGTAAGGAGATCAGTCTGGAAGAGGCTAGACTGTTCAAAGCCTTGTAAGCGAGCAGCAAGTCTTTAAAGTCTGCACGAACTTAACAAGGTAACCAGTGGAGTGAAGCTAGCATTGGGGGATATGTGCTCGTATCTTCCAGTCTGTTAAAATGTGAGAAGCTGCATTTGGCCCCATCTGCAGCCCTCTAAAGCTTTTATTTGGTAACCCCAATAGAGAACTACAATAATCAAAATGTGATGACACAAAAGTAGGGACAAGAATTCAAATTTTTGCTATGCAAGGTGAAAAGAAGCTGTTTTTACTACCATTTTCAGATGAACCTCAAAAGAGAGCTCAGAGTGGAACCAGAAAGTCAAGTTACCTTCCCTCACCTTACCCCAACAGCCTACGATGTGATTGTCAAGCGTCAGAGAAAAATCATGAGAAAGATGGAGAATTTCATGTGACCCAATAACCATCAACTCTCTCAAATCTGTATTTAGGAGCAAGAAATTGCTTGATAACCAGCCCCTGACTGCAGAAAAATGGGTTTCTAATTTAGTCAGGTTTACACAGTTTCTAATGGTCAAAGGAATATAGAGCTGCAGATCGTCCGCATAATAATGAAAGGTAACACCAAAAGAACGTAAAAGAAGACCAAGGGGCAACCCATAGTAAGAACAGAGGACCAAGCACAGACCCTTGAGGGACTCCATGCTGTACAGCACACACAGTTCTCTCAGACAGACCATAACCCATTTTTAAAAGTTTTAAAATATTTACGAAATAATTGTTTTTATTTCACATTTCCAGACATGAAGTGCATTAATTGATATTATGAGAAACAATGTGAAGTTATTATTGATTTTCATAATGCAAGAATGATGCATTGTTACACAATTCACCCTACGCATTTATCTCCTCCTGTTCAAATCAAAGTAGGTGCAAAATCTATTTTTAACCTCCTAAAATCAAAAACGCAAACTTATAAACTGGTTTTTGCTCACCAATGTAGAAGTTTGTGGCTGTCCTCATCTGTCTGTGTTTGGAAATGACATAAATAACCAGAGAGTTTCCCACCAGTCCAACCAGCATGATGAGAGAGAAAAACAGAGGGACCAGCCAGGCATCGGTGAGAAACGGATGCTGATTTCCATCCTCCTCCATATCGTGTGAACGTCTTCCCTGAGAGAAGTTCGCTTCAGATCCGTTGAGCCCATCCAGCTCGGTGGAGTTCCACGGCTCCTCGGAGGTGTACATGCTGTCGGAATGGTGGCTATCGCACTAATGAGAGCAGGTGGAGTGAGGGATGGAGGCAGATACGACAGCTAGGAGAGAGTGTGTTCACTGTGCTTGCACCAGGTCCCTTCTGCCCTCAGGCAAGGCAAAGGAACGAACGACAGATGAATTGAGAAAAAGATGTGAAAAAGGAGTGAAAACCTTAAACGAAAGAGGTGCTGCAGAAATAAAAGAAAGGTGTCAGTGAATGCTGCCAGAAAGCCGGCCAAAGGGAGAAAGAGTGAACTTTAAAGGAACATTAAAGCACTGAAAGAATGCGGATAAGAGGGGGTTAAAGTAAAAAATAAAGAAAGAACAAAAGGTAGATCAGACAGACTAGAATGATGTCTCTCATCTGCAACAAAGTTCTGGTGCCTAAAGCAGAAAACTGAAAAAAAAATCTGAGAGGATGCGAAGGCAAGCAAGGAGAAGAGGAGCGTCTTTTCTTCAAAACTGCTCACTATGAGGCAATCATTCTCTCGTTTCTGTCTTTAGAAGCAGGATGCCGTGTCTGGCTGAGGTGCACACACATGTCTTACATCAGGCGCAAATTCCTCTGTTGTGCTTGTTCAAACCTCCTTTTGTTCCTCCGCTGTTCTTCCCGTGTGAGATCCGAGTCTTTTCCCATTCAGGGCTTTAGCTTTGTGGAAAAAACAAAAGAGCAACTTGATCATTCAGGGAGAAGCGGAAAGCGCAGGTCAGCGTAGGAGTCAAAGCTAATTGCTCTTCAACCCTAACAAAACTATGCCTGACTCAAAATCCTGCGATTTAAATGCAAAAAATAACCTAAGGCGGCATCCACGACTCATTCTCTGAGCAGAGCTGCGCTGATTTAAATGTGCGCTTCAGCAGAAATCACAGAAGTGGAGGGGAGGAGATGCTGGCGGCTTTATAGAATGAGCAAGAGCAAGGACACACAGGCGCATTAGAGAGGACATACACATACACACACACGCGGAGCACCCATGTGGGCTTGCTGCATGACTTTGGGATAAATGTCTTCATTTTTAGGTCTCCTAGCAACATTATCCTTTTATTTATCTTTTCTGAACAAACTGCTTCCTCACAAACTGAATGAACTCTATCTTATCTTTCTGTGCGAATGAGAGATCCTACACCACTGTCAGGTAAAACCAAAGGCCTTTTGAACTTTTTTCTTCTATTAATAAAACTCATTTATTATAGATCAGACTTACAACTGATTGTGATTTTGCTCCAGCTCTACGGAGAACAAGCGGCTCCTCTCTTCTCTTTATCTCCAGAACTGGCTCTCCCCATCTCATAGCTGCATCAAAGAGAGTTTTGCATCGTGGTTCATAGTCATGCTTGTTTCTGGTGGGAGAGATTCTCCACCCGGGCTGCACTTCATGCCTTCTACTCATAATCTTCTAAAGACACATTCTCAGTGTTCATCTCCAGAAGATTCAGATGAAATATTTGCTTTTTGCAGATGACATGATCCTGCTTGTTTCACTTAGCGGAGACCTCCAGCTGTCACTGTTTGGAGCTGAATTAGCATGTCAAAGTCTTTGGTTGGAAAAGAGTGGAGCTTCACCTCTGCATGGGGAATTGTTTAAGTGTCTTGGGGTTATGTTTACAAGTCAAAGCAGAATGAAGAAGGCAGATGGGTGCAGTGTTTGTTGAGGAGTCAGAAACAAAGCTGTCGTTTGCATAAAAAAGAATTTAGAGGGCTTGGCGAAATATTTGCCCAACAAAAAAGAGAAAATAGTTTTTTTTTCTATGTGCTTGCAAGAAATAATGTACATGATGTGTACACACTACCAGAATGGCATGCCCCGACACATGAAAGGATTTCATTGTTGTGAGAAGCATCCATGCCATCTTGCAAAAGTCAGAGTGGGAAAAAAATGGTTTCCTCCTAAGGGAACAAACTTAAGAAACAAATAAATTATTAACCGGACCTCATCTGGAAACCTGCACAGATAGTGTCAGACAGCAGGAGCTTCTTCAGGCCAAATCTACAATCCACAGGCTAGAAAAGTTAGCCAGTGATGAATTACAATGGTATCTGCAACCATTTTTAAAGAAACACATTAAAACTAGGAGTCTTTCCCTTAGGCTGTTATAAATCAGCACTTAGGGCACATGTAAAATGGCTCTCCAGGTATACATTGGTGCATTTTAATGTAATTAAGACCATTTTAACCTCACAAAGCCAGGTTTTACTCATTAGCCACTTAAATCGTCCACCTCTGTGCATTAAAAGATCAATTATCAGAGTTTAATTTTAACTGCTGCAAACAGCACCTGGATCTAATGCACACAAATACTGTACTTACTGGTTTAATTATCGGCATACCTGGGATGTGAGAAGGCATTAATGTGTAAAAGCTTTTTTTGCTCTAATGTATCACACGCATTAGAGGGGATCTGCAGGATCATTAAGGAACTGGAAAGTGCATCGAAGCACAAAAGAAGATGGAGCTGTAAACGTCACCGCTCGACATGACTTCTCCTGATGAGTTCTTGCTCCCTTCAACCGCAGATGCAATCAGCTGTTATAAAGACTTCTAGGAAACCATGAGTAAACTCTGCACAAAGTCTGATTAATTTGAACGTTTGTATGTGGAGCGCCTGCTGTTAATGTCTCATATGTGTAAGGGGCTCATAACATGTATCCGGTAGGCCTCAAGAACTCCAGCAGAAACTGTTTAGAGATTACTTTGAGAGCTGAAGCACAAAAACTTTCCTCATTTTGTTGCTTTTGTCTTTTTAACACATTAATCTAAAAGCTGAACTATCTCCCCAGCCTTCCCTAGTGTCTAGAGGAGCGGCTCATCATTAAATATAACAAATTGGCTGTGTTCACGATCTAAATTGTGCAGGAAACGTGCTGGAAACAGACTGCAGCACCAAGTCCCAACCAGCGACATATATATCTACTATATCCCAACGTAGCGGCCCACATGTCTGTGAGTTGGAAGTGGAACATTCTGGCCACAGGGGGCGATGGAGGCTGGGTGGTCTTTCATCAACCCTGTAAAAGGTCATTGTAGCAAATACTGCTCAAGAAAATGGTTTAAAAATATGAAAAACTAGCCAAGTTTCCCTTTATAGGTTTCCAAGAGACACTGGGTTCCATTCTGGAAGAATAAGAATGCAAAAGGGAACAAAAGTGAAAAGAAGAACAAGCTGTGGTTGAGTGTAATATTTCGGATTGCTGCGTTCAGTTGATTGTTCAGATTCAACCTTTGAATGAAAGAGCCCAGCTTTTTGGCGAGCCTTCCTGCACAAAACCACAAAAATGCAGGCCAAAGGGGAGAATATTGTTAACTTGCTCTTTTCATACACGTGAAAATAAGCTGCAACTTTTTAATAGCTGTTTTTTCCAATGCATTCTAGTATATTTGCTCTTTTTGTTGCTCGAGTTTGCAAGTCGTTCATCTCTTCCCACGTATCGACAGGTGGGATATGCTCCTGATGGCATCTACAGGAGACAAAATACAAGAGAGACATTCATTGTGACTTGTGATGGAAAAATAGATCAATCAGCGATTCTTTAATCCTGACTGAGTTTTCAGCATAAATCACAACTTTGTTTTACTTTCTATTATTTAATCGTGCATGCATCTTAGTTCCCATAAACTGCATGCACCATTTCATGCATTTTCTTTTATTTTTGCAAAAATGTGCAAGAATTATTTTCAGACTGTTATTGTGCTTAATTAATTAAATTACTAGATGTTTACATATTAGACAATTCGGTTTACGTAGAAATTACATTTGATTGGGCTTCATTGTCAAGTTTAATGTTGATTTTTTTTAGCAATTAAATAAATGAATTCCACAAAGTGTACTTTCACACAGAAAAATCATGACAATAAAGTAAAATTATAGTGAAATAGCAGCTGCAGTGGTAATGAGCATAGACAGTCACAGGTTAAGCTGCTCTTGTCAGATAAAGTGGGTGTTTGGTGCCGTGTTCAACAACTGTTTACCAATTATTCCTTGCTCTTCATGACAAAGGAAAACAAACCATATTTTCCACTGTCTCTTGATTTCGGTAATATTGCTGATATAAATCACGAGTGTGTGATTCATCCTTTCAAAAGCAACATGGTGGAACGTCTGAAAGCAACAGGAAGTTCTGATCTGATGCAGATGGGATTAATGGGAGTTTTTTTCCCCCAAAAGCCTATTTTAATGTATCTTCATTTTTGTGCTTTTTATTGGACTATTTAGACAAAAACCACGACCCAATGTCAGGATTTAACTTTATAGTTGAGCTCTCTTAGCAACAACAGAAGCTCTAATTATTTAATCTGTTTGAAGCTCTACAGAAAGAAGACAGTATCCTGTGTTTGCCCGAGGTGTAAGGCCTTGTGGGGAAACGTCAATGAAAGGACCTAAGCTACATGCTTGCCTTGGAGGTATTGATCCGACTGAAATTGATGTCAAAATAATACAACAAAGAGGCTCTTCCTCTAAATAAGCTCACAGCAATCCATAGAATGAGATCATAATGACCTTCAACAATAATCAGACCGGAGCTGAAACGGTGGAACGGGTCGGGCTGGAAACAAATTTAAGCAGAAAATATGTAAAAAGCTAAAGAAAGAAGAGAAAAGTTCACCATGGATCCCGATAAGCTTTCTAAATATCATCCTATCGACTGATTACAGAATGACCATCCTACAAAGGCTTGTAGAAAAAATATTCTGCAAGTCATCCACTCTGCTGTTGCTCTAACAGCTGGAAGTAGGGTGGGGATTGACAAGTTTTTATCAATATCAGTGGTATTGTTGGTCCGGTCTATCGATCCAATGCCTTATCAATTCCAGAGTAGGTCAATAGGAGGCAAAATACTAATTGCACACAGCCTCCTCCTTTATGACTGTCGGTTTATTTATAATAAATAATCAGTTGTACCTGCATCGGTTGGAGAGATCGTTCCAAATGTTCTCTATGCTCCCTGTGAAGGCAGTCATCTTCTTGTTTGGTGTAATGTGTGGTGTATTCAATGGACTGAGTTATCTTGCCTTAGCTGATGTTCTTTGGTGGCGGGGGTTGATGAAGTCAGGAATGGGAGACGGGGTTCTTTGTTTAATAAAGTTTGAGCTCGTAGTAACGGCACACAGTTGTCCCGCGTCTTCTTGTTAAAGCAAAAGAACACGGCATGGTGTTAGAAGAGCTGTGTGGCTGTGACTGGGATTGCTGAACACTTGTCGCGGACCGTAAGAGTGGACTGGTGAGAGGACATGTCGGACGAGGAGAATGGTCGGCAGTCGCGGGCTGGAGTTAGCATGGCGGCTAGCACTCCCAATGCTACGTTTAGCATTCAGCCACCGGAGCCCTTTGATTTTTCCAAACCTCATGAATGGACGGGGGGATACGTCATTTCGAAAGGGTCCGTCAGGCCAGCAATCTATCTTCAAGCTCAGAGGGAAATCAGATATACTGCATGGGAGATGAGGCAGACGACGTTTTGAGAGGCCTCAAGTTAACCGATGCAGAGCAACGGGAGTACCGTAAATCCTCTAATACAGGCCCGGGCCTGTATTTGACTCAAGCTCATCAGGCTCCAGGCCTTTATTGGAAGGAGGGCCAGTATTAGAGGCAGGCCTCTATTTCTATTTGAGCAAAATGAACTAATGGTTCGCTGGAGTTTTTGACAATTAAAATTGCGCCCACATTTTCAAAGTTAAACACATTTCTTTTAACAACGGTAGTTTCTGCTTCAGCCATCTCCCCCCTCCCCCTGCTTCAGCCCTCTCCCCCCTCCCCCTGCGCAGCGGCCGCAAACTCACTGATGCGCCTGCAGCCTCTCGGAGTTCCTGCTGCTCTAAACATTAAAATAATTATTTCATTTTCTGTTCCTCACTTCTGATGACCTTCAGTGGTGTCTGTTTGTTGCAACCACCAGGTACAAAAACTAACTTGTTTTTATTTGACTATTTTTCTGTCCTGTCTGTTTATTATCTTCCTGCATCTCCTCTCAATCCTAAAGAGAAACTGCTACCTGGGTTCATATATATTCACCTTATGAGTTACCTTTGAACTGCAGTTCTAAAAGATCTACCGACCGCAAAAACAGCGGAGCGCTCGCTGTTTGGCGGCCGTATCAGTGATCAGTGCGTCGGAGGACAAGGTGATGCGCGCAGCGCCCCGCTCCACAGCATGCAGCGAAACGCATCAGGCGCAAATAAAAGACAGAAAACATTAAAGGAAATGAACTGACATGAACGATCGCG